GACCTTCATACGTGACCTTAGGTCACGTTATTTGGTCATTCAATATTTATGGTCCCTAAGAAAGCATCTCAGGGATGTATGGATTCGTCAAACACTCCGTTGTTGTATCAAATTGGACGATTCCCTAGAAATTGCCTTCGCAGGAACCATTACCTGACTTTGTCCTACCATAGGTCAGCGACCTTACAAGGTATATCTAAATGTTTTATGTCAAACGATACACTATTCAGTTGCCTACAGCTATGCAAAATTGGGCGCGGTTCGTCACGCTGTTCGGAAACCATTCTGGAAAAACCTTTGGGAGAAGGTCTATTTGACTCCCACCCCCACTCCCAGCGCGTGTTAAATCACGTTTGACCCAACAACTGAACACCTGTGACACAGCACCGTGCATACTTCATGTGCTACTTCGTTTGATACTGTCATTTGCCGCTAAAAGGTATCGTTGCCTTTTGATGCTGAACTGTGATTTTTATGCGCCGAGTGATTGCTGACAGACGGCAATTTTTGAATGTTGGGCTTATTTAACCTTCAACTGCTTCAGCTGTGGCTGCCGTGACCCGACATACAGTAGATCCCTTGAGCAGCTTGATTATGCAATCTTGTATGGACACAGAGCACAGTGTATGGCATATCGGATCTAGTATGGCACAATAATGCTCTCTACGCATCTAGTCTCGCTTTTGAAAAATTGCGTCATGAGACGGAGCGCGAACCCTCGCCAATCGGAGCTTACTTGGCGCAGACGTCGACGGTGATGGTCTTCTGTCCATCGAGTACGTTGGTCGGACGTTTGACATCGATCTCGAATGTGGGTAGTACGTACTCCTCCACAACGAAACTATGTGTTTCTCTTCCCCCATCATAGGTCCTCACATGGATCTCCCAGCTGCCCTGGAAGTCAGTGGCATGGGCTACTGCAACGCTTTCAGCAGTGTTCGGCCAGATGTGGGCAGCTTTTGGTCTCAGTGACGCCTCTTTTCGAGGGATGTTCCCATGGCCCTTAGAAGGATGACAACAGATGGATGATTGACTTCACCACGGACGATTCCTCGGGCAGAGTGGGATTTCACCGAGGGGAGCGGAGGGGTATGACTTCACCACGGACGATTCCTCGATCAGAGTCTGATTTTACCGAGGGGGGGGGGGGGGTGGGTACGGCCGCAGCATGGCAAACTCCTGGCCTTCATGTGACCTTACCAGGGGCGGCTCCTCGGTCAGCTGCACCTCCAACTGGATCAGTCCTCCAGTGGTCTTGATGTCTCTCCACTGGGCAATGCGAATATCATCTGCGGTGGTCACCCACACCTCCGGAATCTGAGGAGCGATGGCCGTGTTAGAAATAAAAACGGCCGGCACGTAGCTTAAGCTGTACAACTCAGCGCAGCAGCAGCGCAGCAGCAGCTAGGGCTGAACTATTCAGTGTTGAAGTGTGGTCCTTGTCAGCACAAGTACAATCCGAAGAAGGCATCGAAACCTGAACGAAACTCTAGATGGAGCTTCATGTTGTCAGCACCTATCACCATTGAATACGCTTGGTAGGAATTAACAGCCTAGCATCCCCATCTGTCTGTATTCCGTAACAATAATCGCTGTAATTCAGCAACGATCTCTGGACATAGCCAGAAGCCCAACGTGAGAGAAAAAAACCTTCCACTTAAAGCGTTCGGCAGCGAAAGCGCTCGATGTTCGACAGCTCACGTTTTCGATGAGAGGTGTGAGGTCATATCGCAGGGATATGACACGGATCAGGACTTTATCCCCTGGACGGTACTTGGGCTTGTCTGTTTGAACCAGTGTCACCAGCGTGAAAGCCTTGAAAAACACCTGAAAGATCAAGGAAACATCATGATGCAAGGGAGCATGAAGTGTTTTTTCCCGAACGGATTGGTCTCCGCCGGTGACCAATGCAGCTTAAGGTGTTGAGTCGGGTTAAGATTAGTGTCTGGAAATGGATGAACTCATGAAATGATCCATGAACTCGCCTCCACCAACCCGATCTTTACAAAAATTAATTGCTCTGTGGAAGGTACGTGCAGTTGATTTTGGTAAGGAACATATTGAAATGTGTTTGGCCGCACCACCGCGGGCACACATAAAGTCACACACCACGTGCTATTGTTCCTCAGGGCACACATGTAGACACATACCACGTGCTATTGTTACTCATGGCAATTGTGCATGCTACTGGCTGGACACCTTGAGGGAAGTGGGACTTGGAAAGTGGAAGGAATGTAAAAATTATGTTCTTGTAGGTGATTATTAAGATGAATCCCAAGGCATTTAAGAATCCTTGAAAAGGGCCCAGTGTAATCGAAAAGCTGTCGATGACTCCACCTTAGCCTGCAACAGTATTCAGTGGATGACGTTTTTGGACAGAGAACTGCGCCGTAGAATGCAGAAACTTTTTTTGTCCTCAAATTTGTTTCTGACGGCGTGCTGTCACGAGTGATGGGGCAGACGGTTCGAGCGTTCAGTCTGCAGGTGTTTAGCGGGGAACGAACACACCTTCGGTTCCTTAAAAATCTCTCCGGATATAACCGTTGTTTCCTGACTCAACTGCCCATTTGCATTCGGCAAAGAAATGCTCGAGCACACCTGCCTCACAAGGTACAAACGTTCAAGCAAGCGCAGGGCAAATAAGACTGGTGCGAAGTGTTCGTTGTGGATGGCGGTAGTTCCTTTGAAGCTGAAGGTTAGTTATGTCATTGCGTAATGAAGTCGAACATGGACACGACATTGCGCATGATTTAGGGCTTATGGCCTGTATTGTTACGACATGCCCGCCGGCCGACCCGCCCATCTCCGATCTCCTTATGATCTTGTCGTTGTGGCGCTGTTAGTTCCAGTTGCATGCGCTTCCACTGTATTGATCACATACCGCGCACTAGAGGCGCAAGAGCTGGCTGCCACCGTACGGATAGCCATCTCCCACCCAGTGCCCAGCTGTGCGGGAGCAGTGTTCGGCATTGCAAAGTCGACGCCGCCTTGCTGTAACCAGGCGATACCAACTAACGCTGATCACACTGAAAGCCGGTGTTAGTGCCAGAAATGGCTGTACGCAACATTGCCAGGTATTTCGTGCGTGCGAACCCACACATCTTGGCTGGTGGCAACACGGTGTAAGCGCTGTGTTTGTACAGGCTGTGCACTCCCGCTCCGTGCCCGTGGTGTGAGCCACGGCACGGCGCTAAGACCCCCTGTCCGCTCACGGCCGTCTCGGTGGCGCCGTCGGTTAGTGTCACGGTGTGTCAGCGTGTGTCAGCGTGTGTCAGCGTGTGTCAGCGTGTGTCAGCGTGGATGGCAGGTTGACGGTTCGAGCCTGCCCTCTGTGGCCTTATCAATGAGATAACCACACTGGAGAACAATCTTACCGGGGCTTAACGCTGAACCATTCAGAGCCCGGTGTCTTCGAAAAGAAAGTTTGTCTTTGAGGTCTTTCTGTCTTCGCATAGGTAAGGCAGCAGTATTAGCCTTATTTCTCGGGGAAAAACAAAACTGGGGAACGGAGATATAGTTGGGTTGATATTTCGGCAACAGGTCTTTATCGAAACAATAGCCGAAGTGAATTCAAAATTACCTGCCGATGATCCTTCTCGATTTGTCAGGATTTTTATGAAACAACAAGTCGCAGTTGTTCGTCGCTAATGCACTGAACAACTTACGTAGCCTTTCCGTCTTCGGGATAAAAGCAGGTGAAAACTGTGAAAAATCATAGATTTTGGGCCTAAATGGGGCTAATGGCAAGTCCTTTCCCGCGCCCTGATGGGGCGAGGGGGTGCGACCTCCTTTAGAGCTTTATGACGATGTCTCCGTGGTACGCCGTCCGAACGCGCCCAGATTTCCAGCAGCCTCTGGCGCATTCATTGCGCGTGTTTTCGCACCAACGACGTGTCGTAAGCATTTCTGGTGTCAGAGCAGTGACGTTTCCAAGGGACACTGCTCGGCGATCCACGGCCAAAGTGGGCGGCGGGCAGCACCAGACGAGGCCGCCGATCGGGCAGGGCGGATCGATTCTGTAAAGCTAACGGAGCAAGGCATCATAAGTAACAGCTCAAACACATACAAATGCATACAAATGTCTTCAAATTCAACAAGATGCATGACTATTTAAATTTCATGCCGGCAAGTGGTTTCGTTTTCGTAAGGTTTCGTGAGGTTTCGTAAAGGTTTCGTAACCATGGGAATGCAGCCTGCAAAAGTGCGATTCTTGGAACAGATGGCCCTTGACGTCGCCTAATGCAATCAATTATTCATCTAGCGGCATAAATATAGCTCCAAAGCGCGGGATCTCCTTGATATCAATCAAATCATTTAAATTTCTTTCTTCGTCTGGAAACGGCACTGGTCGTATCACTCCCATATATGCTTACAGCTATGCCGACCGATATTGCGTTCTGAAAACAACATCGCTGAGCTGAGTAACATTCGGTTCGTGTTGCAGTGTTTGGGGAGTAGTTTATTTATTATTTATTGCGAGCCTTGGCGAAATCCAGCGAGTGACTATTCTAACGCCTCGTCAGTACATACTACATAGATCAACACAGAACACGCAACACATGCAAATGGGCCGCAACGACAGCGATACACGTACGATGTTGTAAAACATAAGCGACTTGTGATACAATCAATGAAATGTGATACAAATGGTAAGCCTGCTTCAAGCAACTGGCTTGAAATCACCCGACAGAGCTGAACAGGATCGCTGTGACATTGCTGAAAACGAACGATGCTGTGACCAGCCATTGCCAAAATATCTGTTAACAGGCGTGCTATCAGGGATGAGGGGCGTGACAACTTCATTGTTATTTTCGTATGGGTCATGAGGCATGCACTTTTCTTTTTTATTCATAGGGTTTTCACGTGACCAAAATAAAACCGTTATGAACTCAGGGACGTGGCATGCCATGGCCGGAACAGCAATGCTGGCAAAGATGACGCCCTTGTGCTGATTGCCAAAATATACTAGCGTGTTATTGACATTTATCTAGAATACGAACCTTGGAGCCGTCTGAGAGGCGGAGTCCGGCAGCGTTGGCAATGCGGAGATCCAGGTAACCCCGGAAAAGGGGCACCGAGCGCGGCATGTCCAGGTCAAAACAGTGATCGCCATCAGCTGAGGAGAACAGCGGAGTCCGTGTGACAGCCAATAAGAATGGCCGACGGCAACTAAACCAATCAGATCGTCAGTGTCAGTTGATAACAGGCAATCAGGATGGTAATGATACAATAGCAACAGTTACTCAGGGTGGCAGTAGAAAGAGACAGTCTAGACACACACACAGGGGTAAGGTAATCAGGCGGGCTCCGACAACGGGCAATCGTAGCAGAGCAATGCAGAATATTGTGTTTCCAAGAGTCTGCGATGCTGAACTGTCGCTGGCAAACATAATAGCAAATATTTAGCACGACAGCCTTGTAACGATGCAGCGTTGTCCTACGCGCGTTGCCAATGCCAGGTTAATCAAGATGTTCTCTGGTGGGCCCTATGCATATACCCGCAGTTTGTGGCCTTCTGAATCTCACCGTCCACCGTGTCTGGTATCAGCTCCACTATTGTGAAGCTATAAAGCGTCAGGGGTTGTGTCCCGGGCTCGTTCGAGAGACTGAGGGTCACGTTCCGCCCCGGCCCGGGCAGGTTGAACAGCGTGACGCAGACGCGTTCGCTGGTGCCCGCTTGCAGCAACTTGGGCGATGTGAAGAGGAAGCCGCTGTTGAAGGGAATGACATCACGGGTCAGACGCACTGAATGTCTGGGATGTGCTGCATCACAGCCAGATGTCCGAGAGGTCCTGCATCACAGTCCGGCCGGCGGAGGCTTGGGACAGATAAAACGTCTGGATAAATCACCTTAGCGCCATGCCAGATGAACGACAGATGCAGCATTTTTTTCTGTCGTTCGGTAAACAGCGATGTCGGTGGCATCTCTTTGCTCGCATTCCTAAGATCCTTTACAAAGCTGTAACGAGAGGGACAAGGCGTTCTAGGAACCAGATTGCTTGAATGATCGCGACTCACGGACTATATGATTTCCTTTAGACTACGGCTCCTTTTCCAGCGCTGGTCACCATCATCTTTACCGCACCGACGTGCTGTCCTCAGCTTGCAGAGTTCAAACAGCTCCCTGTTAAACCTCAATTCAGATTTGTCTGTCAGTGTTTACACGCTGGAAGCACCGTCTGCATAGCAACCGGCACTTCATCGCCCGAAAGGCGGGATTTTCCGCACGGTTCGCTGCATCGGTGACAGTCGCCCTCTAGATCGGAGCGCAAGCGGCCAGACTGGATTGATTACATTGGCAAGAGTGTACAGCAGGATAAGCCGCAGATGCACTGCTTAGGCTGGCGCTGGTGGCAGTCTAAACAGCATGCTCAAGCTATTCCGAATGTTATGCGATGTTATCGCGAACTCCTCAGATGGTATGATCATCAAATGATGTTGCCGAAAGCGCACAACATCCTCGGCCTTGTACTATGGCGCCTCAATACAAAATCACACTGCCGTGTGTGGTCCATGGCAGCTTGCAGCACAACAGATCGAGGCCGAGACGCCAACGGTCACGCAATACTCCAAAGTGCGATTGAATTCGATGTGTCCGTCGGTACCGGCATGACTGTAACAACGAGGGCAGATGAAGGACAGAAGAGCCAGAGACCGGGGCAGGGGCAGAGGATGTGAAGGGGCGTTGACGCATAGAGGAACAGGGATAGGGGCTGGGCGAGGCCAGGGGTAGGGCAGGAGCACTGCAACAAGCTGAGATTTCACGTGGAAGCTTAGCATTAACCCTGCGGCTAAGCATTGAGCACATTTATCTGAAAACATGGACTCTTTCCATCTCTTTTTGTCACTCCCACACCCGGAGAAGAAGTACGCCCTGAACGCCAGACGTCATGTGCTCCGTCAGGTGCCTGGGGCGGCGGGCTTAAATCGGTGCAATCTCCTTAACGAAATGCTTAAACGACCTGGACCTGGACCTGCTGGAGTCTTAGATGGTTGCAACGCACATATGACTTTACCTGACCGACGTGAGGAAAACGCAGAGCATTGCTATGTATGACCAGTGTCATTGAATTTTTAAAAAACCCTAAAAAACATTTTGTTGTTTTTATGCCCTGAAATTACTACAGTAACGGCACACAATGCCTTTACAGAATCGTAAAGGCATGAAATTCGGTTTTGCCGTTTTTCCTGTGTTGTCATTTTCCCGTAAACATGGCTATATTTCTAGCCAGAGTTTGCAGAAATGCCAGACCTAAGCGAAATAGCAATCCATCTATATCTCCATTTGCCTGTTTTTTGTTCTCCGAGGAATAAGGCTGTTACTACTGTTTGCGTTTTTGTGTAAATAGGAGAACTAACTAAAAAAATATTATATGACCACAGAGCACATAACCTTGACCCAGGTCATGACCTATTTCTATGGCTAACTTCTGCAAAACACATGGTGAGCTCAAAACAGGCAGTTGTAAAGCGTAATTTCGAATACAGAATTCGAATACTTCATTGAAAACATGTTCTGATATCATTTTACTGCATGATGAGGTCACAAAGATCATATGAGAACATACAGGGGCATGTGAGGTCATCCAAAGTCTTTGAACTATGTTACCAGTGCCGGAGAGGCTAGATAAACGAGTACAACGCGTGTAACCACTTCCTTATCGTGTTCGTGAAGCTGATGATGTCTAAATTTGTGTACCAGCGTGCCTATTTTCAGTTTATTACAACCCTTTCACGAAGCGTTAGAGGGACTATGTATGATGTAGACAAAAGCTAAGTGATCTTGAGCGCCTCTACATGCATGATGCACTATTTCTGACAACAGAAAGGCCTTACACTGGTGACTTAAGCTCAGTTAGTGCCTGCAATGCTTTTATTCGGATGCTTTATAAATTCACTTAAGTTTACACCAGAAAACCTCTAGGTAACCTTAGAATTAAGTAATAGAATAGAAAAACATATTTGTCAGGAATACTTTATCCCATAGCTGCGCCTAATAAAATGAACTTAGAAGCACATTGTGAGGTAAGTATCGCTCTTGTAGCTTACTGGTACGGCAATTTTGAACGGTGACCTGATCTGACCTGGTCCAGGTGGTGAAACAGAAATGGTTAGAATGGACTCTCCGCAGTCTCAACGCCTTTTTTGGGCGTTCAATATCCGTCTCGATGCGTTACCATATATTTTAACGGCATCTATCTGAACGACCGTGTCAGACCTTTCGTGGCTGCTGGTGACCTAGCATTTCACCTGAGGCCAAAACCATGGTGTGCGTTCTTCATGACTTGACAAGACCTTAAGCACGGTATGTTTCTTTTTCTCGTACATCGCCTGAAAGTGGAAGATCCCAGGGGGAGTCAACATACTCCACTGGCCGGGTGCTGTTTCCTCACACCTGTGGGAGGGGGGGTGGGGTCGGGGTAAATTGGGTGAAAACGCGAATTTCATTTTGGCATTTGCATGCTGACTACTTCGCTATGCTCGTAAGACAAATATGTTGCGTGAGACATCAGAATTTATCCCGCACATTACGCAGAAATTAATCAACTTCAGTTCTTAAACCATTGAACTCAGAGCTGTCTACATGTTTATTACATTCAGCCAACAACTCTCGATAGCCACTAGAAACTGGCGCGGTGTTGGTACGGCTTCCGTACAGTCACAGATTGGGTTCAGTCACGAGGCTGGGTTGGCTTGGTTGCGGATTTAGACGCCAAGGTTTGGCATGGTTGGGTTAGTTAACAGGTTGAGCAGAGTCATGGGCTGGGTATGGGATAGATGAAGTCACAGGTTGCGTGCGGTTGGGCAGAGTCGTGGGCGGGTTGAATCACGGGTTGGGTAGTCATGGGTTGAGTATAGGTTTGGCAAAGCCACCGGCTCCGTGAGGCGACGGGGTGCGCACGTTTGGGTAGGGTTACGGTTTGGGTAAACCCACGGGCACCCGTATGGATTGAGTGACGCCGTGGATCGGGAAGATATTTTGCGACATTACGGACATGGCTGTTTTGAGGAATGTCCCAAGTCACTGGCTGTGTTTGGGTGTGTTCCTGTGAGCGCTTTGAGTTTGGGGCCTTTGAAACTTTACCTTTGCAACAAAATGAGTGTGTTGTATGTGTGCATTTTGTGTTTTTTTCATAATAATGGGTGTGTTTTGAACAAAAAGGCAACACACGTACGGCTGAGTATGGCTTATGGCTGTATCAACGTATTGCTGAGTTTGTTTGAATCATCATGACCGCATTCACGTGTGATTTGAATGGCCCAGGAAAAAATCGCAAGTAAAAACACGCAGTCTTTTAATAGCTTTCATTTTTGTATCCAAAAACAATAGAAATATACAAAAAATGTGCGGGGAACGGGAAGACGGTGACGTGGTAACAGGTGGTTAAGACTGATTGGAGACCTTGGCTGCAGGTGCAGCCAAGACTCCACGGGTAATCGGTGGATTGGAGGAGCAAATACAGCCCGTGAAAACCTCTATCTGGGAGGAAAAGTGCACAACAGGTAACCGGCGGTTAGGTGCCGGCGATCTTGGAGCTCGCACTCATCCCAGCGCGTGCGACCCCACAGCGACCTTGGTGTGACCCCACAGCGACCTTGGTGCGACCCCACACCGACCGTGCACGCGGATGTCGCTCAAAACGATGCGGTAGTGTGGTAAAGGCAAAATCACCTCACGAAAAGAAAACAAACAAGAAAACGCGTTGGAGCTAAAAAGGAAGAAAGATGTGACAAACGTTTTCCACCAATTTCGGACCCTTCTCGCAGTCATTATTTTAGTTAGGCTGTTATATTTCCGTATGCCTGAATCGGCCATAAGTCAAGCATAAGGCATTTTGAAGACCACCACATTCGAGCACGTAGAAATGTATCACCCATGGTGCGCGGCGGCGTGCCGACGCCGGACAACGCCACCCGCAGCACGTGCTTGCAGTGCTGGTGGTTCCGCGCATGCGTGAGCCCGTTAAAAGCGCATGCTCCAGGAATCGGGCACCTCGCACCTTGCTCCCTGCAGGGAATGGAAAACGCGGGAGAAGACTTTTACGAGGCTGGTGGCGATACATGCCCGTGTCTGTTTGAGTCTGATCTTGATTTGAAAGGTGTGTGCTCTTGATCAAGTTGATGCTCAAGTCCATAACGCTACCACCACGAACATGGTGCTGGTGCAGAAGCGTCATTTTAGTTGCGTTGAGAATATAGTTATATTTTGGGGATATATCTGTTCGCTTTACAGAATCAGAACAAGCACACGTTTACGAATAATTTTTGCGTCTGTCATGCCAGCGATCATGCTGTTTTGAAAGTGCCGGTGCCGGCATAGCGTGGGGTGGTCTAACATACCAGCCGTCACACGACTTCTTTGTCAATGGCGTAATAGCGTGCCGCCTCTGATGTGCCATTAGTCACATCAGTCCTTTGCAGACGGTGCTATGTGGGTTGCTTCTGATGTACTAACAGTCACTTCAGTAGCATGCCAGCAGTGTAGTAGTATGCTGCTTCTGATGTACCAGAAGGCACATCAGTACGTGCCACCGGTATAATAGTGTGCCGCTTCTGATGTACTAGCAGTCACTTAGGTCCATTACAGAGTGTTCAGGTGTGCTGCCTCTGGTGTAGCAGAAGACACCTCAGTCCCAAGCCAACAGTTCAAAAGTGTGCTGCTTCTGAGATACCAGTAGTTGCATCAGTCCTTTGCAGACGGTGTAATAGTGCTTTGCTTCAGATGCACCAGAAGGCACAGCAGTCTCTTGTCAACGATGCAGTATTTTGCTACTTCCGTTGTACCAGCAGTGACATCAGGCGGTTAAGGAACAGCGTTACAGTGCGCTTCCTCTGATGCACGAGCTGCACTAGCAGAACAAGACTAAAACACACCATGTTTTAGTGTGCTACGTCTGGTGCAACTGCCGTAAAAAGGGCGGACAATGGTGATACTTGGTGCTGAATCAATTAACAGTAAACGTTTGCTAACAGTCAGGTGCACAATGTTGCGATGTCACGTGCAATCTTTCTGTTATTCACTCCTCTGCTCGGTTATTTTCCCAGCGCAAATATGCCTTTTCCGGGTAATATTTATGCGTCACTCCTCCTCTCCTCTCCTCTCCTCTCCTATCCTCTGCTCTTCTCTCCTCTCCTCTCCTTTCCTCTCTCCTCAACTACGATGCTTAGTTGCCTACATTTTGCGTGCATCTTTTCATTCACATCAGCACTTCACATTCAGCAGTCTGCAGCATCGACTTACCTTTCAGGCGCCTTCAGTGCGCCCGCCACCGCCACCCATGTCAACAGCAGCACCACCCACAGCGTCATACCGGCCCCGAGGAAGCCGTTTGGCTGACCACTAACCCAACATGCACCCCGTACCTATGAACACAGCCAGCGGCTCTCCAAAACCGGCTAGTTACGTTGCGGAAGCCTGAGCGTAGGTGAGGGCGCCACCGTCGCCCGGTCGCGGCTCAAGGACACGTCCGGACTGCATGGAGCGGCGCCTGTTTTCACTGACAGTCCTGTTGCCACCAGGATGCCAGAGCCGTTGCCGCCTGGCACACGGGTCCGCGCCTCGTCCTCCTGCGGGCACGCCGGTTTCCGCGGCGCTGGGTGCGCCCGTGCGGTCGGTCTCTCATGGGGCTGCCGGGGGTGCAGGGAGCCCATCTGATTTGGTTTACGGCAGTCAGCCAAGGTCATGATTTGCATCTAAAATCCACGTAGCTTCGAAGCCAGCTTTGTCTTGGTCAGCTGCAGGGGTAGTGTGTCAGCAGCTCGGCCTTCACTCGACCTGTGCTTCATTTGGAGAGGGTGTTCTCAGGTGCATGGTGGGGTGGGGTGTTCACTGTGCCGTAGGCTGCTCGGAAATTGTTCGTGATCGCGAAATTCAAGAAAGTTTGGAAGCGATTGCACACCATTACCTCTCCGTGTGTTTCATTGGGGCTTTACGACGTACTCAGCTGTTGATGCTACATGGCTTCGCCTGCCTCTCACCCTGGTGGGAACGGCGGACACCGGGGCAATCGACACCATGACCATTTTCAATACGCAAGTAGTTAGGTAAGTATCGGCAGTGAAACATTCCCTGCGGCATCGATTATGCTACTGGTCGCAGTTGGCATTGCGAATTGGTCATATATAAAAAAGAAAATCTGCAATTGGCTTGCAACTCTTGCAGCCTCTTCTCAAAATTAAAGCGTTAAAACACGAAGACAATTATCAGTTATCACTTAGACAACCCTCACTTATAAAGATAATTGTCTTGGTGTCCTACTACTGTATTACTATTGTAGTGAAAGTTTGAGTCACAAAAACGTGGTGCCATGGCATTTATCCGTTTACTTATTAAATAGAACAAAAGGGGTCTTTAGAGTGGTGCCCGTGATATCTGCTTTCATCACACTTGGCAACAACGAACTCTCTCAAGGTCAAAAGCCAAGGTCATAACAAAAGCGCTACCCTGGCATGCATTCGTTTTATTAGGAAATGAAACGAAAGTCATGCCACATTGATTGACATCATGTCTGTTTTCGTCATACCTGTAGAAAAACTTACTTTCAGGATGAAACGTCAAGGTCATATAAAACACGGCACCCTGGTATTTATTTGTTTAGTTCATAAATACCCCGAAACAGGCATCACGTCGATGCTTAGAACGTTCGCTTACGTCACAAATCGAAACGCAAAATTTGCAGGTCAGTGGTTAACGCCACAAAAATGCACCAATCCGGTATTTACTTGTTTCGCTTTAGATATCACAAAATGTGAATCATATGCATGTTCAGGGTGTTCGTTTTACCCACACAGGAAAGACCAACTCTTGTTTTGTCTTAAGTCAAAGATCGTGTTCACAGAAACGTGATATCGTGGCATTTATTACTTGACTTAATGAATGCCACGAAAAGAGATCATATCAATGCCAAGGATCTCTGCTTTCATACAATTGAAAAGCTGGCTTTTAAAGGCGAAGGCACAGAAACGGAGCACAGAATATATATATATATATATATATATATATATATATATATATATATATATATATATATATATATATATATATATATATATATATATGTATGTATATATAGATATATATGTATATATATATATGCATGTATATATATATATATATATATATATATATATATATATATATATATATATATATATATTTGTTTCCTTTATGAAAATCACAAAAAGAGAATCATATCGATGCCCATGATATCCACATTTGTCATACTTAGAACTAATAAATCTCATGGTCAAAGATCATGGTAAGATGCATCATGTGTACTCATCGTGACCCATGACACCAGACACATTTCGACGCTGTACAAACCCGATCGATTTAGAGCGTATGAACGCGAGCGGCGGGAACCTAACCTCTGGAAATGCAATGTAAAATGAGCTTTACTAACTTTCAAAGGGTCACTATGGTACACGGCATCAGGTGAGAAATCATGAGAAAGAAATCAGAAATCAGAAGGAAGCGTTATAGAATGACGTTTTGTTCACTTCGTATGAAAAGCATCTCATATTTGTAACTGCTGCTCATTGAATGGAATGTTTTAAGCTCTCTATAGCGTGAGTTGTAAAGTGCATTAGCGAGGAACGTTATTCACATAAATAGGGCAGTAGTATTAACAGTTTTCCTCGGATAAAAACCAGGAGAATGGAAAGATAGTTGGGTAGATATTTGGGCAACATGCCTTCATCGAAACAATAGAGGAAGTGAATTCACTTCTGCTATTGTTTCCATACTTTGTGTTCACTCGAAGTGAATTCACTTCTGCTATTTTTTCGATAAAGGCATGTTGCCGAAATATCAACCCAACTATATTTCCATTCTTCTGGTTTTTCTCTGAGGAAAAGGCTAATACTACTGTCCTATCTATGCTTTAAGCTCTCATATCATTTACTGCATAATCATTTCGGCCGATTCTTGTTTTGCAGCCATAACGCGACCCACACACGAAAAAGCAGAGCAGATGAAAACCACTGCTTTTATAGTGGTGAGCAAATGGCCCATCGGCATAGTCGCTACCTCAAATAGCAAGTTGGGTCGTTTCAGAAGACTTTAAAGGAAACTCAGTACTCCCTAAATCGGGCGCGTCCGAACTAGCTATAAATGAGAAAGACATGCAACTGGCACGCCCTCTTTAATTAGGTTCCCAGTAAATTATGGAATGCATGTCACCTGTTTCATAACAACAGTGAGAGATCGGCGTCGCGCTTGTACACACATCCTGCATACGTTTTATGTGCAGGATGTATGTTTAGCCATACCTCCCAATAATAGTTCTAACTTAAGTTAACTTGGTGTTCTAGTATGGCTTTGACATAAATTGGCATGAGCGGCCCGAAAGGATCTTCTCAATTAGGTTTAAGCCGTTATGTAATGAGGCAAACTACCATCACTATAGAAAAGAAGGCCACGCGACGATATATTCTCATCGTGCTTTGCCATCGATATTTCAGATCTGTTACCAGACGTTATGACTTCAAATGTTAATTGCGGGAAAATTTGCCACTGCTTTTAACCTCATTTTTATAATGAAATAGAGTGCATAAAAAATAAACTCCTTTAGCTTATGGCCCTTTAGTAGCTAGTCTTCTAGCTTTATTTTACCGGACTGGCGCTAAAAGGTCAGTCCGGAAAAAATCGGTGCGAGAAACATATTTTCCCTACCCTTACCGTGCGCGTGTTGAATACCAACGGAAATGATTTCCACAACAAATTGTTAAGTTTCGGATTGAAATTCCGACACATAGACCATTGTCTGGCTCCTCTATTCCTTGTCTTTGGATACCGCAAACCAGCTCAAGGTTTCTGCTTCTGGCACCAAAGATCCAATGGATTGCGTTAGAATGAAACTGGAGATCTACGAAAAGACAGTTTCCAGCACTGAGCTGCGGGGAGGGAACCAAAAATAGCCAGCTGAGGCCTCGCAGTAAGTCGATATATCCAGGAAGAACTAAGATCCGGCTTGCAATTGCAAAAGGAGCTATCAAAAACTGAGACCCCAACAACACTTGTGTTGTGCAATCCGTCAATAACCAAGAGCGTAGTCATGCGTAAATGAATGTGAGGGGAGCAGTCCGGTGCCCCGATAATCGTCGTTTTTCGTGAGTGGATGTGAGCGAAATGGAACGAGCGAACAACAGCATAAGCTACCAACATAAGCTCCGATAACGTAGGCTACCAGGATCGTCACTTTACATAATTCCAGGGGCTTGAGCTCCCAATGCCGAACTCAGCCACCCACTCAGGAGTGAAAGAAGAGTCTTTTCTGCCACTAAAAAATCTAAAGCAGTTTAAATTGTCAACTAAAGCCAGAGCTATCAGAAATCAATTCAATATAATTCTAAATGCGAAACACCGCTGAAAACAAAATGTCAGTGAAATTCAGTGCGTTATAAAAACCAAACATTTTCTGATAGCTAAGACAGTAGTATTAGCCTGATTACCCGGAGAAGAACCAGGAGAATGGAGATATAGTTGGGATGATATTTCTGCCACATGCCTTTATCGATAAAGACATGTTGCCGAAATAGCAACCGAACTATATTTCCATTCTCCTGGTTTTTCTCCGCGGAATCAGGCCAATACTACCATCTTATCTATGTAAATAATGTTCCTCGCTGACGCACTGAACAACTTACAAATATTCTTCCTAGAGAATTGAAGCGTATACAAATATTACAAATATTCTAAGGGAAAATGAGGGATTGCTTTTGTCAGCAAGTTTTCGCCATTTTTATTTGATGCTGTGACACGCTGGAATGCATACGTGTGAGAAATGTTTTGGATGGTGTTCTCAAGGCCCTACTGCAATGTGATGCGCAAAGTCCTGGTAATGACATGGAGCAGGATGTAGTCAGTGAAGGGCGCGTTACCGGCCAGCAAGGAAAACAGGCCCTTCTTCAAAATACCTCGTCTTAAAAACGTTAGCATTTGGATCGTAACCAAACACAACTGTGTTTCCTGTCATATGAATATTTCCTGCCCAACCTGCCATCCTCTATCTTTCGCTAGACGCGCGGAACACAGCACCATTTCCTAAATGCCCAAATGTGTACAGAAAAACTGGATTATTCTTCATACATTTACCTTGCAACGCACGTTAGAAACACTTGGCCATTGAAGTATTGTATTCTCATTTGGCTTCCTCTGCACACCGTCTCGTTGTGCTCAACAGCTCACGGCAAGGGACGGGTGTGATTTCCCCTCCAAACAAAAAACGTTGTCGGCAGTTGGCATGAAGGTCGGCGAAGACGGAACTCAACGTCATGGCGACCGCGACAGGATAAGGCTCCGCTTCCATCCCATCCACCCACCGTGATTTGAGGTGCATGGCTGCAGAACGATTCAACACCAACCGTAGAAACGCTATGACCCGCGTGCAGGAGACGCTACAGGTTATCAGACAGCTTACAGACAATTATCTCAGCTGTGGGCAACGTTCCAGGCAAATACATGGTTTCCAAAACCACTGCCGCACACAACGCCGACTTGTACAGTGTGCCACGCTGTGCCTTAACGAGACCTTGAACAGCAGTAGAGGGTGATCGACGAGGTACGCTTGAAGAGACAGATTGCACCCAAACGTACTCAACGGCCAGAGTGCAGCAGGGCACAGTGCGAAAGCCGCCTATGGTACCCCAAGATGGCCGCCAGGGGGTGCGCACCCACACATTGCATTGCACAACCAATTGCACCCAACTGCGATGTCCGGACACTTAAAACACCGCAGTATGACGCGAACAGCGAACCATACCCCACGCATGGCGTGCAAATGGTACATCCCCACACGTTCACAGTCATTGTGAGAACAACAGAAAACACTTCGACCCAATCCAACCTGGGAACGCTCTCCGCATACGGAAGGTGCCCACGGGCCGTCGTCACAGCAGGGGCTTCCCCGGCCCGCGTCTCCACGCGTGCCGTCTTTTCTCTGCGGTTTCGCGGGTGCACTGGCTACAGGAACAAGACCAGCACACGGTCAGCGGTGAATGACGCGAGACTTAATGTTCGCATGTGTGAGGGGCACTTATGACCGGATCTACCGACATGCGCAACAAAAACTACCCACTAAAAATGTGGTTGATCGGTCATGCAAGCATTGAAAAGATGTCTATCTTGCGTACACTGAGTTAGACTACATGGACAGGACTGATTAATTAAAGTGTACATCGGCTGGTATGGGTAGGCCTACAGACGGTCGACTTTATCCGCGGCGGCATTTCCCGCCTATTCCAGTGTCCAGAGTGCGGGGCAGTGACATAGCCAAGCCGCCATTCATGACTGCTATCATTTCCTTCCGTTACGCAGCCACCCCCTCCCCTCCCCGTCCCCCTCCATACACACACACGGCGGAACGCTTGCATATAATTTACAGAGGTTATCGTGCGGATCAATAGTGCATAATCCATCCCGTGGTCTCCGACCTACGCACCGTAACAAATATAGATAGCAACACATGGAATGCAGTACAGCGAAGCCCATATGAGTGGCCGTGCACGACAGCGAGGCCCCACTGGGTGATCGTGTACTGCTGACAAGGCCCCGATGACTGGCAGTGTACTGGCAGCCAGGCCGTACTGAGTGGCCATGTACTGACAGCCAGGCCCTGCTGAGTGGCCGCGTACTGGCAGCCAGGCCGTACTGAGTGGCCATGTACTGGCAGCCAGGCCCTGCTGAGTGGTCATGTACTGGCAGCCGGGCCCTGTTGAGTGCCCGTGTACTGGCAGCAAGGCCCTGCTGAGTGGCCATGTACTGGCAGCCAGGCCCTGCTGAGTGCCCGTGTACTGGCAGCCAGGCCCTGCTGAGTGGCCAGGTACTGGCAGCCAGGCCCTGCTGAGTGGCCATGTACTGGCAACTCCGCAGATAGTCTGTCACCCCGAAAACGGGTCTGATTACGTATACTGACAGCAGCTCCGTAGTCTCCTATCTCCAAGTCAGCACCCTCATTTCGCTACAGCTGGCTGGTATGCTTTGGTTTGCCACCTTTCTAAAGGGGAGCACGCCCGTTAGGATCGTTCGCGCTCTTTGGTGAAATGAGTTTTTTAAGTGCAGCAGGCTCTCTTAACGGTGACCACGCAGACATTCCAGGCAGGGACGGCGCCACGGGTTTTGAGATGGTGGAAGGATTTTCCAGGCGGCCTTCTCACAATGAGGCCTCCTGCCGGGTATCGTATTCATGGACGGGGAGCAGCGAGGGTGTGCTCCCCTTACCAAATTGCGGCACGTGGAACGATCAAGTCAACAGACGCACAAGGTTAAAACAGCCAGAATGATGTCCTTCTAATCATATCCAGTAGAGGGTCGGCTTACCTAAAACAAAGCATCCCGTTACAGACGACGGCCTCCCGTTGCACAGATGGACATCATTACCCAAAATAGGATAATTATGTATCACGAAACGGGCTTCCAAATCTGGCCAAGGGGGTCAATGTCCCAAGACAGGCATCCAGATCTGGAACCGGGACCATCTGATATGTAAAAGGGTCTACTGTTCCAAAATAGGACTCCCTTGAAAATAAAGTTAGCCTCCTAAACCAAACTACGCGCCTTCTAGTTTATAACGGGGTATAAACTAGTAGGCGCCTATTTTGCCCCAGGCTATAAAGCCCTAGCGAGCAAATGGGCTTTCTTAGTACAACATTTGACCGTCTGCTTGGAGACATTAGCTGCCTTATTCGCAAGTGTAACCTCATGATCTAGAAAATGGACCTCCTGGTAACACAAACGTTTTTTTTCTGAGCCCGATTCAGTATTCTCCAGCTCAGTTATGGGGTCTTCCCTGATTGGAATTTTGCTTCCCTGCGGCAAACTGGAAGGCCTTTAGTGTAGGAAAAGGCCTCACATGGGGGGTGGGCAAGTATATGCTCTCCTCCTTGAATTGTCTCCTCTTCCCCACCACCTACTGCCTCCCCCCCCCCCCTTGATTCCAGCAGCCATCACGGCGGTAATGCTGCTCGCATCTCACTCGCACACGCCAACATTTCGCTGACACGGTGCTCTTTGGTTTGATCACTTTCTTACGAATATAGGTTTGTCCCGATATGACCTGCCCACCAGCTTAGCGGTAGGGGCGGCCCTGTAGTCAGCCCGTGTGGTTAAACATTTTTAGGGCCCTTTCCCCCTGAAGAACTGATGCCAAGCAGAGTCTCGCAGTGACACCCGTCACGTATGTGGCTAATGTGTCGCTCCAAGGCGGTACCGGTAGCAAAATGTTCGACTTGAGATATTTGATGACAACGATGACGGGACCAAGTCCTGCCGTCATTTGAGTGGCATATCAGACAAACTGCCTCCACATACACTCCTTAATGGCGCACTCTCCGGCCTTGGCACGGGTCCTGGTTCACCCTCTGAGTCTACTCAATTATAGATCGCCCTACCAAGCATCACACTCCTTTCGGGCAGCGCGCTGAACGTCCACAGACTCCCAGAGTGTCGGCAAGATTCACATCATCACACCAGCTCATTCAACTGGAGACTCTTCACCGGAAGCGGCGCGTCTCTCACCCAGTGAGCTCCACTGACGGCTCAAGCACTCCGTCAGACCGCCGGCGCCGACTCTTCGGCCAATTGGCCAAATCGCCGGCGCCGTCTCCTCGGCCACTTGGCCAAACCGGCGGCGCCGTCTCTTCGGTTAATTGGCCGGACCGCCGGCGCCGACTTTTCAGCCAATTGGTCGACACCACCACGTTTTGGCGGGTACGCTTGCTCCCGTCCATGGTATCAAGCCGACAGAGTTCTACGTCTTGCTCCGGGCTCCACCCATCGCTCATTACTCTATCCTCCATGATGATGCTGATTGTGGGCTTAGGGCGCGTGCTCCATGCTCCGTCACAACAGCACGAGATCTGTCTGCAATTTTCTACGACTCATCTTTTGGTTGTGTGCCCCGTCCGCGGCTCTCTGACGCCGGCCCCGGCCCCGTTACTTCGCGACGCTCTGCCTCGTCCTCGCCCTCCGTTTCGCCGGGGTAGCGCAGCGGGTAGCCGAGCGCCTGCAGCACGTCACCGCAGGCCCGTTCGGCGGCGCGCCGGTCGGCGGCGGCCAGCTCGCGCGTCCAGTGCAGCTCGTCGAACTGGGCGCTGCGGAACGTGCCGTAGTAGCGGCTGGTCAGCGGCGTGTGGCGGCGGCGCGTCGCCTGCATCTTGTTGTACTCGTCGAGAGTGATGCGGCGCAGTCTGGGAGCCGCGGCGCCGCGGCGCCGCGGCCGCTCAGCGGCCGCGGTGCGGCGGTGGCGCCGCCAGGCGTCCCGGCGAAAGAGTTCAAGTGGGGTTGGCTGCCGCTGGATGGCGACGTTCCGCCGGGTGCGGATGGCGTTTGCGTGCCTCTCTGGTGCATGGGCTTGTTTGCTGCTGTACCTGGAGGGAAAGTGGATGTCACTATCGTTTCAGCAGAAGTGCCTGCTGCACTATCTCATAACACACCTATCTGAACGTGAGAGCTCAAGGGTCGTGCAGCCCAGTGGGAGGTGTGGCGAAGTACGGCGCCCTCCGTCCCGTAGGAGGCGTATAACTTCGGATTTCCGTTGAGTAATTGGACGGGTATATCTTGCATATCTTGCACTACCTGCAAATGCAACCCTAGCGCGTCTTTCGTGTCAAAGCAGAGCTGTGTTCAACGCAGTCCCCTGGTCGTGAGAGATGTAGCAGCAAGGTACATGCTCGGAGTAAAGCCGGGAGCAAAATTGCACAAGTTGACCCAACAAAATTCTACGCACCAATGTGGCGTCCATCCCGATGCAAAGCGGGTGAGAACATTGCAGGTGTTAAATTCCCAGCACTGCTCACAAGTAACGTCCTGCTCTCTTAAAATTGCATGGGTATCCTCAACACCATAGATAGTTAACATTATTTTAAATATCATAGAATCTTACTTTGTTCTCTCACTATCCTTCCGATCCTTCTTGTCTGATCGCTTGGTTATGCTGCTCTTTTGCTTGGCGGAGGTTTTAGTGTGACTCTCAATAAACTTGAGGACGTCCGGGGGTAGCGGCACGTTCATGTTGGCAAACAATCGACGGGCCTCTTTCAGTGGATGGGCAGCTACATCCTCATACCTGCGGCAGCATAGATCACGCTCTCGCGACAGCCCAGCCTGCCATGCTGGTCTCGTAACACCAGCAGAGACGGCCTAAACGTCACATGACAGGCACAACAGACAAGGTCTGTTACGTCATACGACACAACAGACATGGACCGGCACGTCGCATGGCAATGCAGACCTGGGCCGGCACGTTGCATGGCAGGGCAGACCTGGGCCGTTATACATATCATGAGACTCCATCTTCGCTCCTGCTACAGGACAGAGCGTCGGCAGCGTATCAACCAGCGAGCTCAGCTGACGCCACAGCACCACGGTACACTCTCTGACAATAAATAACAAGTCGCGGATTGAGATCCGCCACGGTCCGTGTTTCGGTTTCCATGTTGTCAGCGTGAAGAGCAGGGCGCGTTACGACCCGTGGCAGGGCTTCGTGAATAGGTGTAGGCGGTCCAGAAAAATTGAGCTCGTAAGAAAAATGCTGTCGGTGTCAGACTATTTTCTTTCCTACAAAATGGCATTTTTCTGGAAGGTATGGGCATTGGCAAAACCACCAAACAGGGGACGGCCTTGGGTAAGTTTGAACCAAAGACATTTTTGTTGCGACCAGCCGGGGCCAATATCAGCGACCACCAGCGGTCAAATATGGAGGCCTGGTATCACTGTAGGCAAATGTATCTACGGGGGCATTCAGAATAACTTTACGAAGAAGTGGGAACCGACACACAGGAATTTCACGTAGCTCGGCGGGATACACCATATATATATATATATATATATATATATATATATATATATATATATATATATATATTACCACAGAGACAGCATTTCGTGCACCAGACGGCAAAGTCTACCAACAAAAGAATGGAGTAGCCATGGGGTCTCTTTGGGGCCGCTTTTTGCCAAAACCTACTTATGCCATGTGGAAAACAGTCCTTGAAAATGCATCCCTCCGTGCCGCACTTTACGCACGATATGTCGATGGCATTTTAGCAGCTGCCAGTGAAGAAAGCCGACTGATCGAACAAAACATGCAGTGGAACAAGCTCAGTTCTCTAATTCACCTACGAACGAAGCACCAATAACCGCATTTCATTTTTAGACATAGACATCACTGCTGACTATCGACGATTCGCGATGACAGTGCACAAAAAACAACAGTTGCTGGACGATACCTCAGTGCCGAAAGCGAAAGCCCCGACCGGTACAAGATCAGAGTACAGCGGTCCTTCTTCCGAAGAGCCTTTAAACTCCGCCGTGATTTGGCGCAACTACACCGTGAACTGCAGCGCATCACACAAGTCCTAGAAAATAATGGCTTCTCCAACAGTGTCATCGGCCATGAGACCAGCAGCTTCATGTCACGATATTGGACGAAAACTGACGCCATCAAACATAAACCAGGTCCAATGAAGCCGTTCTATCAGGATCAAATGTCTGATAGTTATAAGACAGACGAGCGAATCCTCAATAAAATAATATCTGAAAACGTCAAACCAGTCAACCAAGACGACAAGATAACGCTCACCTTCTACTTCAAAAGCAGAAAGGTAACCGAGCTCATCATGAAAAGTAGCCTCACAGCCAACTCTGACCGCTTGAAACGAGCCAACGTCGTTAACCAATTTCGTTGTGACAGGATATTGCAGGCTCCTAAAGCAATCAAACTACGTTGGTGTCACTACCATCACACTTTCAAGGCGGCTGATGATGCACTTGGCCGAAGGTGCTTCAAAAGAACACGTGTGAAAATAACACAGCCGGGACATCAACCGAGACGACCTCACCAGAACCACTACCCTCATAACGTCGTCATCAAATAGCAAAAAGCTTTATGTTCTGGCGGCCGTCACAATCAAAACTTCGTCACCGGAACTAAACAAACAAACCAATTCCTCAGTCACCCTTCACCTCATAAAGGAACGATCGATACCATCCGCAGATGGTATATTTTATTATTCAGCACGTGTTCTGCCGCTCGAGTTCTTCTGGTCCTAAAATATGTCAGCCACATGATTTAGACTCTATACAATTTAGCGACTGAACTTTACTTGATCAAACCTAATTGTTATACTTAACTGTAACATGCAATCATATATTCTTCACTTGTATGCTGTATTTATGTACCTTTGAAAATGAAACATGTAATTTCAAAACGCTAGTACAATCGATAGACGCCAAACAATGACAGCCTGCTTTTTAGTCTCAATGATGAGCAATCATAATCAGAAATTTCTATCAAGGACGGAAAAGCACTTAAAAAATGCACCTATGCCAAGGTCTTTAACAGCACTTGCCATACCATATACCATACCATGCCATACCATATACCACTCCATATACCGCACCATATATACCATACCATGCTGGGTGGACTCACTTGCAGGATATTCGAGGCCCAATGACTTGCGCTCGATTTGTGTGTCGTGGTCATCCGATAATTGTTTTCTCTGAAGTGCTGCATTGTGTGGGGGTGCAAAGTGATGATAATTGTACGACTTGCTCAGTGTTTACATGTTCCCATCTGATACAAAAGACAACCGGGGGTTTTAGGGCGCATCGACTGTTAAATGTCATGCAGCACAAAAGACAACGGAGAGGGTAGTCTATGCACCAGAAAATGGTGAAAAGTTCATCTATGACAGCAACGGTCCCAAGAGCTTGGCCCATCGCGCCTCGATTATTGATGATAGCGGTCAGCGGGTCTAGTTCTAGAGGTCGCACCTGTATATCGCCCCGGGCAAAGTCAGAGTCGGTTATCGAATCAATAGATTTGCCTGAGTCCAGAGCTGAATCGACCCCACACGGAATCGGATATCAAACACACTATTGTTCTGAATCATCGATGCGATGCATATGAACATAACTAATACAGATACTAATAACTGTTTATACCCTGGTTGCCTCCAAGCCTGCAGGCGCCTGATTACCACCGTCGATGCCTGTTCACAGAGACTGGACAGCGAAGAAAGGAAAACACCATATATCACATTGTCCCACCGTCAAATCATACGTTTTACTCAAGTTTTACAGCACATAGACGCTTTTAAATCGCTGTCACCAAAACAACTCCACTGAAATGGATTGCGGAATGCAGTTATCTTTCATAGACAAGGCATTATGGCTGACACAAAGCCGGGGTTCTGCCCGGCCCATGAGTCGCGATCAGCGGATCTGTCCGGCGCATGAGTCAGCCCAGAGCGATGCGATCCTTCGTTGTAGTCGACTCGACGCCAGCGAACTTAGGCCGGCTGATTACCGACCAGACAACGCTGAGGCGTGAGCTTGTGACGTCACGCTACGATCAGATGTCATCCCGTGAGCGCATGCCCACTGGACACCGACCTGACGACGCTGAGGCGTGAGCTTGTGACGTCACGCCACGATCGAATGTCGTCCCGCATATCGGCGCAGGTGTACTCCGGGTCTCGCCGTCTCTCAGGCCATTGTCTTCTCTGGCGCAGGATCGAGTTGAGGATACCTCGCGGGTCACGTACCAAGTGCACGATGTGTACATTGAGGCCCTCCACCTGTTGGGGACGGGCAGGCCGGGTCACAGGGATCATCAGCACGCGAGGAAACATGGGGGGGGGGGGGGGGAAGGGCTGCAAAACGGGCTAAAGCGAGAAGGCTTATGGCTGTCATGCACAGCCTTTACGACAAACACAACAGGGTGTATTTTCTGCTAGACTGGACGTGGGATCGCCGGATGTGGCTTCTTTCGAGTGATGTCGGAGCTCAGTCAGCGATCAGGTCACTGACCTCCAGCAGGGGCAGCACGTCGTGCAAGCGGACGCGTATCGTCTTGACGACGCGCATCGACTGCTTCAGACAGACAGTGGTGAGTTTGTCCAGAGAGGCCCCCCGTGGCAGCCTTGGCTTTCTCCAGATGAAGGAGCGAGTGTGCTCCCTGGCGAACATGGGCGGCAGCGACGACAGGCTGAAACAGGCGCCGACATGACCTCAGGGGACAGGCTGAAACAGGTTCCGTCATGACCTCAGGGGCATGCTGAAAAATGCGCTAGCATGACCTCATGGGACAGGCTGAAACAGGTTCCGTCATGACCTTAGGGGACAGGCTGAAATAGGCGCCGGCATGGTCTCAGGGGAC